ACACACACACACACACACACACACACACACACACACACACACAGACTACCCTATTTGTATGGACTGACTGCAACCTGGAGTTGTGAACTAAAATAAACTCTTTTATTGTCTTTTGTTTGGGTATTTTATCATAGCACCAGAAATGAAACTGAAACAGAGTCAATCATTTGTCCACAAACATCTGTAGTAGATGCTGTGAAACCAAAACACAGCCTTCCAAGGAGCAGTTATGGGAATGTGAGCGACTGAAGATGAGTGAAATGGAAGGGAAAGTCAATATGCCGTTTGCCACCACAGGCACCTGTAACTTTGTTTCACTCGGGTTCCTATAATACCAGGTACTTTGACCTTTGGGTTTATCAGATAAGACAAAGGAGGCAATTTGTCTTTGGGCTCCTGTTCCCACAGTAGTCAGGAGTTGGGAGCTCCTTCTGTGCCCCTCCCCTTCAACTCCAGAAACATTGAGCAGGCTACTTAAGGGATTCCACGGGGACACAGGGGAAGAGAAATTCAGACAGACAGTGCAGAGGACTGCATCTGATGTATGCTAGTAGGCATCTGTAATAGCAAAGACTAAAGCAAAGATGTAGGCTGAGAGACTTGTGTCTAATATATCTCCCCACAGACCTTTCCTCGGTGCCCACCATTAAAGGCTAACATCTTGATCCAACACAGAACTGGGAAGACTGACGTGAAAGAGAGTAGAAATCTGGGGGAAATGGGCATCCCATAAGGTCTCACCCCTAAAAGAAGAGCTGTAGGCAACCGTAGACCTTTAGAGCAAAAATATCAGTTTTCTCTAGGGAAGAGCCCCATGTGATAAGTTATCCAATCTCAAGTGGTCAGTGCTAAACACAAACACATCTACATATGAGCAGCGCTAAATAGACTCAGTAGATTGTGCATGTGATTTTATGCATACATATTGTGCTGGCAAATTGTTTGCTGTCAACTTGACACAAACTAGAGTCATTGGAGAGGAGGGCGTCCCAATTGATAAATTGCCTCCACAAGACTGGACTGTTGTCAGGTCTGTAGGGTATCTTCTTAATTCTTGATAGGGAAAGGCCCAGCCCATTGTGAGTGCTGCTACACCTATGCTGGTGATCCTGGGTGAAAACCCATGAAATAGCATTCCTCCATAAGCTCTTGCCTCCATGTTCCTGCCATGTTTGAGTTCCTGGCCTGATTTCCTTCAGTGATGAATAGTGATGTGGAAACATAAGCCAAGTAAACCTTTCCCTCCCCAAATTGTTTTTGGTCATGTTTGATCACGGTAGAAACTCTAACTAAGACACATTACATGTTGTGATAATTTCACTAGAGAAAAACACAGTCAACAACACTGTGTTAAACCAGTTAAGAGTATGAGTTCTTTGATTTTGGTCAGCAACCATAAGTTAAGCTCATACCTCAAAGTCTCTTGGCGCTGAAGCTCAGGGGTACATTTTTAAATGCACAGTCCACAAAACCACACAATTATGTTTTAACAAAACATAGTAGTTACTTCTGATGTGATATGACAATAAATTTTGACTTATACCTTCAGTTATATTATTTAAATTGTAGAAACATTAATTGCTCAGGTTAATAAGTATTGACCATGGTCAAGGTCATGGAAATCCCAGATGTGTTACTCTTGGAGGGGTAGAGGTCTGAAAAATATCTAAGCAGAACAAAATGGAGTCAGGCCAAGATATATTTGCTTTAATCACTTCAATATTCAATATAGCAATGATGATTAAAGAAGAGATCATGGATTTAAGAGGGAAAGAGGGGCACAGTAGGAATTAATGGGGAGAGAGAGCTAGAAATGATATAAATACAGTATTCATATGTGGAATTCTTGAAAAAGAATAAAAATTTAAAGAGAGCAAGTGCTACATACTTGACTTCCAAAGTACTAGATCAATAGCTAATGAAAGCAACAATAAATGTGGAGGAAGGAAACCACAGCAGCTTTTGGCCACGTGAGACATGCAGAGCTAACTGTGGTCAACAAGATGGCTCATCAGGTAATGGTGCTTGGTTTGAGGCCTAAAGACCTGAGTTCTATCCAACAACTTGTCCTCAGACCTCCACACATATGGTGCCACACACACTCACACACAAACACAGACAGACAAGTAATTAAATAACTAATAATAAATAACCATAAGAAGAAAGGAAATGTGAAGGTAAATTACAAAAGCTCAAACATGTTGAAAGAATTTGCCTTGGTGGAGCATGAGAGGGGAGAAAATTGAATTGCCAGTATTTTTCATCAGTCTTTGACTTCTTAAAGTTTATATTTAGCACTGACTTAAAATGAACTTAAAATGTACATGTGGAAACTAACAGATAATATGGTAACTTACACAATTCTTTCCATGATATGCTTTCAGACGCTCTGGAAGCCCTTGAGATATTTGTTCCCAGAGGAATGGAACACTACCACTGCATGGTGCCTCTTTTGCAAAAGACTGTCAGTAGTTGTTACTTAAAGAGAGAAGGTAGAGAAGAAAGAAACTGAGGAAACAGTGTTAGAGGTAGAAAGTTCTGATGACAGCGGTCAACACCTTGACCACATCTCTGGTTCTGAGGATCACTTCCACCACAGCTACCTCATCCTAGCACAGTGAAGAGTGACAAATACAGAAAATCTACCCTGAGCTTCCATATTTGGGCCCCCTATGTGAGATGTTGAGGATGGGGATAGTTACAATAAGGACAAGAAGGGAAGCCTTGGCCTTACTTAGTCTTACCTTTCTGTTCTTGATTGCAGGAGGATAAAGTTTAATTATGGCATCATGCTATAATTTGAAATGCCAAGCTTGTGCTGGGTATATAAGGTGTTCCTCTGAGGAAGACTTCCTGTTCCAAGCAAGAGAACGATAGCTATCATCCTAGCTAGACCTTCTTTTAGTTCTCTAATGCTACCCCAGGAAATTCAGCAAGCATTAGATGGAAAGCCCACAAATAAAAGTATGTCAATTCTCTCCAGCAAAAGAGAGCAGTCATTAAATATCAGAATTAAATGTGCTGGAATACAATTTCTTTCAATACAAAATGTTATATTCCTTTCTGTCCCTAGTTCTTAGTAGAGTGCCCGAATGTAGGTAGTACATAATTATTGTGGCAAAGAATAAACTTCAGTGAACATTGGAATTTATTTGACATGTTTCCCAGATATTCTAAGCCATGTTTATCCATTCCTTTTATTTATCACGTGTGTGGGTACACTGACAAGTATTTAAATCCTCTCACACAAAACAAGAGAAGAAAGAGAAGAAAGAAGGAGCCAGGAGGGATGATGAGACAGAAAGGAAAATGGAAAGGAAAAAAAGGAGAAGGAAAAAGAAAATGAGCTAATACATTAGAATGGAAAGTTTAAATAGCTAGCTGCACTGGGGAAAGAATATGGGTAGATAATAGACCAAGAGTGATTAAAATTGCTTCTTAGTATCCCTCAGCTTTTGAGTTGAGACATACTGTTTCATCCTCTCAATATATTCAATTTCCCCTCTATTTGTGTTCATTTAAAAGTATTCCTCACTATGATATTTTACCTAAAAACAATTCAAACACAAATTCATTTTTAAAACTCCAAACATTTACACCCTCCTTTATTTGTTTACTTGTTTGTTTGTTTATATTCTTAAAGGTTTTGATATCACAGAGATTGGTTTTGATGATGTAGAATATAGGCTTTATGGATTGCTCCAACCTTGTTGTCTAGACTAGAATGCTGTCTTCAACACAAGTTAAATTCAGTTCAGCAGCAGGATACCACAAACAAAACAGGATTAGGAATCAGAAGATTAACACACAGTATATTTGAGGTTCTAATACTGTGTTAGCATGCTAATGCTATGGTTTAGCCATGTTATCTAGAAATCTGCTCTAGAGATGAACTTACTGCATTATCTATGGTATCCACTTAAGACTTCATTCAGCTTTAACCAGCATTGGAACACTTGCACAAATTCAATCCCTTTCACTCTCAGACTAGTTAACCAATTTATAGCCTGGGATCTGAGGGTACTACATCTTTCTAAGCTCCAGGTATAATTCCAGCTTCCACTGACAATTCAGCCTTGACTTACATGTCCCCCTGAATGTCATACACCAACGATTCTGTAGCAGTCTCCCATGCATTGCTTCTTTACTTAAATCTTCCTCCAGGCTCATTCTCTCTCTGCTCACACACAGGTTATCATCACATCAATTCACCTTTTTCTTTTGTGTTCTGAGGCTAATCAAGCTCATCATAGAACTCGCTTGAAACCAAAATTTTCATCAGCCTACTTAAGAAAGTTCAATGGGTGAGGGAACAATTCACAAGTAATTGGAAAGTAGAAAAGACCATCATCAGAGAAGTCAGAGTTCTTCGGGTCTTGAGATATAACCGTAGTTCCTCTCACCCCTCCCTCACCCATGCCTGTTTCTTTTCCAGTTTTTATGAGGTACAATGGGGAAAAAATGTTAAGTGTTTCAGGTGTAGAGCATGAGGGTTTCATACATCACTTTATGTCACCATGACCAAAATACCAGGAAGAATAACTTAAAGGAAGTTCCTAAATATTTATTTTGGCTTATGGATCCAGAGATGTTAGTTGCTTGGTCCTATGTAGTGGACAGAGTATCATGGTGGCAGGTGCTATGGCTTGGATCAGAGAGGAAGCAGAGAAAAGGGGACACAGGAAGGAACCAGCCAGAGTTACAATTCTAAGGACATATCACTGGTAGCCTCCTTTCCCTAAGTCCTGTCTCCCATCAGTTCTCAAAAATGTCATCATATTGTATCTCAAAAGACTAATCCATTGAGTAGGCCATTGTGTCTGTCTAATTGTCTCTGGCCACACCACCACAGTCACATTCATTGTGTATTTCATTAAGCCATTTAGGTGTGTTTTAATCCAATCAGGTTAACATTCAGAATTAGCCATCACAAAAGTCCCTTTTCAGATGTACAGTTTGCAATTATTTTCACCTACTCCACTGATTATTATTTTTTTTTTTACATCTTTTTTTTTTCTCAGTGCCAAAACTTTTAGTTTTCAGGACTGTGCTGGCTAGTTTTACGTCAACATGCTACAAGCTAAAATCATCTGAGAGAAAGGAACCTTAGTTAAGAAAATGTCTCAATAAGATCCGGTTGTAGACAAACCTATAGGGAATTTTCTTAATTAGTGATTGATGGGGGAGAACCCAGCCCATTGTGGGTGGTGCCATCTCTGGTCTTGGGTTCTAGAAGAAGCTGAGCAAGCCATGAGGAGCAAGTTAGTAGGCAGCACTCCTCCATGGCCTCGGTGTCAGTTCCTGCCTCCAGGTTCCTGCCCTGCTGGAGTTGAATGATAGACTATGATGTGTAAGCTGACTAAACTTTCCTCCTCAAGCTGCATTTGGTCGTTGTGTTTCATCACAGCAATAGTAATCCTAACCAGGGCAAGGGTCTTGCTGGCTTATTTTTCTTTTGCTGCCTGAGCTTCTGTTGTAGTAAACAAAATTCAAAAATAAAACCACCATTGCCAAAATCAAAGTTTAGAAGCTTCCTCCTGGTTTTCTTTTAGGAGTTTTATGGTGTCAGTACTTATGCTTTAAGCCTTGGAACTGATTTTAATTTTCATGAATGTATAACACAAGGATCCGATTTCATTATTTTCATGTGGATATCTAGTTTTCCCAACACTACTTGCTGCAGAGATTATCTGTTCTCTACTGTGTATTCTTGGAGCTGTGTCAAATATCAGTTGATCATAAAATGGTAGTTTTATTTGTATGACCAATTCTGCTCCATTGGTCGACTGTACACACACCATACTGTGCCAATCATTATAGCTTTGTAATGTGTTTTTAGATAGTAGATTAATGAGCCTCTAGTTGTGTTATCCTTCTCAAGATTTCTGTGGCTATAGGGGACTTTTATACATACTGAGATTTTTTTTCTATTCTGTGGAAAATGTCACTGGAATTTCCTTGAACTACTGAGAAATTTATAGTTTACTTTGGGTACACTGGATATTTTAACAATATTAACTTGTCTAATTCCTGAGCATAAAACACCTTCCCATTGATTTGTGTCTTATTTACTTTCTTCCATCAATGTTATACTTTTCAATAAATAAATCTGACTCAAAAAGAATTTAATTCAATTTATTACAAAACATTTTATTTTTGTTCACACTACTATAAATGGGGTTATTTTCTTTATTCGATTATTAGGCAGTTACTGTTAGTACATAAGCATTTGCCTGACTGTATATGTTATTTTAGTCTACAAGTTTACTGGATTTATTAATTCTTACAGTGTTTGGGTGGAGTTTCAAGATTATTTATATCTCATACAATGTCATTCTAAAGAGAAACAACTATACTTAGTACTTTTTGTTCGTTTGTTTTATTCTGTTTTCAGTGTTGGGGCTCAAATCCCTCTCCACCACACTAAGTACCCATACCACTTTTCCTATTTGAATGTTTTTCTTAGGTTTTCTTAGTTGATCTGGATGGGATTACCAAAACCATACAGATTAGAATCAGTGAGAGCAGGTCCTCTGGTTCCTGACTGTAGAGGGAAAGCTTTCTGCTTTTCGAGAGAATGCGATGCTAGCTGTAGGCTGGCCGTATACAGCTTTTCAGTCTTTAGTGTTCTGAGGTACAGTCTCCATCAAAGTTTTTGTTGTGAGACTGAATTTTTTGTGGGTTTTTTTTTTTTTTTTTTTTTGCTTTTTTGAAGATGATCATATGGCTTTTCCATTGTGTTAATGAACTGCATGTTTACTGACTGGCACATGTGGAACTATCCTTTCATCTCTGATGTAGATCATATTTGCTTATAATCTACCTTCCAGCTTGTCTTGGTGCTGGTGGACAGCATGCTGCAACTAAGAACATTCTGCATGTATTCCATGTTTCCTAAGAACACTGGTCTGTAACTTTGGTTGTAATGTCTTCATTTAACTTTTTCTAATAGCCTACTGGATGAATTGTAAAATAGTTCCTTTTCTTCAAGCTTTTAAAAGGGTTCGATATGGGTAAGAGTTAGTTCTTTAGATGTTTGACAGAACTCACCAGCAAAGTATTGTGAACCTAGATTCTCTTTTCAGAGATTTTTATTATTACTACTATTATTATTATCATTGTTATTGTTTATGCCATCTAGTTACTCACCAATATTTGCTGTCTGTTCAGATTTTCTGTTTAAGATTTATCTTTAGTGAGTTGTCCATTTCTAGGAATGTATCCATTTCTTATAGATGATAGTTCACGGTGGGTATTTGTTGACAGTAGTGTCTCTTTTATTTCCATTATTAATTGCAATGCCTTCTCTTTAGTTTATAATTTTATGTTAAACATCCATATTTTTTCATCCATCTAAGGTTTTCAGTTTCCTTCCTTCCAAAGTGCCAAATCTGTTTTGTTCATTTTTTCTAAGTTTTCTAGTTCCTATTTTCTGTTTCATTTGTTCCTCCTTAAACATCATTATTTCTTCTATTCTGCTACCTCCAGCTGCAGTTTGTTTTCCTTTTCCTAGTTTCTGAGTTGTTCAGCTAGGGTGTATGTTTGAAGTAATTTTGTCTCTTCACGTACACATTATCCCTTCTAGGATACTTTGTGCGGTGTCCTGTATTGTTATGTTGCATTTCCATTTTCATTTGTCTAGTGATGTTTTTTTACTTCCCCTTTGAGTTTTAATCTGACTCATTGGTGGTTTGGGAGTGTATACTGTTTATTTTCCACATTTGCAACACTTCCAATTTATTTCCTGTCACTACCTTTTAGTTACACATCTTCGAGATCAGAAAAAGACATTTGATTTAATTTCAATCTTATTGAATTTAAAGATTGTTTTGTACACTAGCATATTATCTATTCTGAAAAATGCTCTGGATGTGCTTGACAATATTTTATTTTCTGTTGAAGTTGGATGGAATGTTCTGCATTATACCATAGGGTCCATTTGGTTCATGGTTCAAGTTCATTATTTAACCCTTGAATTTTTGTATGAATGGTCTGTCCACCATTGGGGGGGAGTATTAAATTCTGCCTCTATTGTTGGAGTTTATTCCTGTATTTGATTGGAGTTTATTTCTTCTTCTATTTTCATAATATTCACTTATTTAATTATTGTATATTTCAAGTAGCTATAGCTGGGAATATAAGTATTTCCAACTAGCCTATCATCTTAATGACTTGACCCCCTTTTTATTGTATAATGGCAGCTTTGTCTATTTTACCATCTTTAACTTTAAGTTTAACTTAGCTGATATGTGTGCAACAATTGATGTTCTCCTTTGGTTATCATTTGCATAGAATATTTCTGTTTATCTCTTCGTTTTTATACTGTGTGTCCTTAAAGTTATGTGGATCTTATTAAAGGCACACCCTTGAATTCTTTAGTCCAATTAGTTGCTCTGTCTCTTACTAAACATTTTAAATTATTTCCTTTGATACTAATTATTGGAAGGTAAGGACATATTTCTGCCCAGGCAGAAAATGAAGTTTTCTTCTTGGGTGTGACTGTGAAGGTGTTTCTAGAAGAGTTGAACATTTGGATTAGATTCTGAGTAAAGAAAGTCATCTTCAGTGATGTTGGCAGGCATCTTTGTATACACAAGGAAACTGAAACAAAGAAAGAAAACACGGTTCTTTCCCTTTAGCTGCACTATCCATCCTTTTCCTGTGCTTAAAACTGAGCCCCCCAGTATCAGGCTTGAGTGATGACACTGGCTCCCCTTGGTCTCTAGATTGATGATGGTATATTCTGGAACCTTTAAATCATAAAAATATCTATCTATCTATTCCATTATCTCTGTTTCTTGTGAGAACCTTGAATAATGCTAATCACTTCTGGTATTATTTATGCTTGTCAATCAGTTTATATCTGGTGATTCCCTAAAGAATGTACCTTTGGGAGAGCCTGTCTGTTTTGCTTCCATAGCCACGGTGCTCACTACCCAATAGATGCTTAAGAAATATTTAGTAACAAGTGACTGGTTGGCAGAAGTATGTTTACAAATGAATATGGAGTATGTTGTGTGAACCAATGTGCTTCTTTGGGGGTTACTTACAGGAGTATGAATAGGAAAACACCTCTAGGAGTGTGGATGACTCAAAGACAGCAGCACCACCAAAAAGTCCACTCCTACCTGGCTAACAGCTCACAATCAACATCTTCGAAGCTCGCAGTAGGGCTTGCAGGAAGCTCCACACACTGGGAAGTCTCCCACAGGCAGACCGGTCATAGGAAAAGAGTCTCTTCTTACCAACTGTTTAAGCATCTCTAACCTGGGTGGCATTGGCAAAGGGTCTTGTGTACTGTGCTGCAGCTTTTCCAGACTTTGGACATTTGTTTACTTGCCAAGTCTCCTGTACCTTTCTCCTCCCTCCTGGAGGGAGTGTCTCAGTTGGAGGCAATTGCTACAGAAGAGTCTTCAAGCTGTCTTCATCAGGCTGCATCACTTCCAACGATTTGTAGTCAGTGAGAGAGGTGGGCACAAGTAGAAGTAAAGCCAGTAAAGGTTTCTTGTCTTCTTTTTAATTAAAAAAGAAAATGTTAATATTCTTTTGAAAGAGTAGAAGAGAAGAGTGTGATCAAAGCAAGCAGAAAGCAAGAACTTCTTAAAGGCCTGAGGGGGAGAGAGTATTGACATGGTTATTGCTTTATAGAGAGAGAGAATGAAAGCAAGTGATGAAGTCATGAATAGGAGGCAGCAATTCTCCCCAGGTTGTGGTAGGGCTCAGTGCTCCCTGGAAACCTGACTATAGCTTTTTGTTTTTTTTCTTGCCCTATTGTTGGCAGAGCTAAGCAGATTGCACCTATTTATCTACTTCCTGTTCTGACTGCTAATCTTCTTCTTACATTCTAGAGACTGCCATCCCATAGAAGCACCTGATTAAATGAGCAATGAACGAAATGAGGTAATGACACAGCATTCAAATGAGTCACTAAGAAGGCAGCCAAGCTATAGTCTAAACCTTAGGAAGGTAATTTGCAACAACCTGGGTTTATGAGGGGCAGGGAGGAGTAGAAAGAATAGTGTAATCAGTATATGATATGATTATATTAGCTAACACAAGAAAATTCCACTGAGGGTGTCAAGAATTTCATACTGCCTGGTATGATGTCAACCCACTGTGTCCACTCTAATCAGCTGCTTCTGAAGAGTCATAAAACCATGGAGTAGAAGCAACCTCCTTAGATATTCTGGTCTAGCTCTTTTATTTTTTGTAAATGGGGAAATTAAAACCTAAAGACATTAAGAATGTGCTTATTTCATATTTGTTTTGTATGCTTTCACCCCATAGTCCAAATCATCAAAAAGTAGTGTTTGAGGATAGTGAAGCATTCTGTGTGTATGTGTGTCTGTGTCTGTATATGTGTGTGTGTATGTATCTGTGTATATGTGTCTCTGTGTATGTGTGTGTTTGCATGTGTCTATGTGTCTGTGTGTATATATGTGTCTATGTGTAGGTGTGTGTGTGTGTGTGTGTGTGTGTGTGTGTGTGTATAGAGAAGGCAACATGTTAAATACATAAGTCTTCTGTTATTTATTTATTTTTTTTGGAAGAATAACTAGTAAAAAAGGAGCTTCCCTGTTGAAATAAGGATCTGTGAAGGTCATGGTGAAATTAAAGTCACAAACTAAAATCTCCAGGGAAATTAAGTTAAAATCTTCAGAGAACTTCCAAGAAACAGCCAAGACGTCTAAAAAATACACGTTGGGGTTCTCTTTCTCTCAGGTTGGAACAACAGGCCTTTAAATGCTGGACAAAGACCCACTTCTTTTTTATTATTTAAATTAGAAACAATCTTATTTTACATATCAATCCCAGTTCCCTCTCCCTCCCATCCATCCATGCTCCCCACCAACCCCCCATCCCATCCCCCTTCTGCTCCCCAGGGAAGGTGAGGCCTTCCATGAGGGATCATCAAAGTCTGTCACATCATTTGGGGCAGGGCCAAGGCACTCCCCTTCTTAATTTTCATTTTCCTTTTCAAAATACATCCTTAGGAGAAATATTAACTCTTGCTAGGCTGGAAAGTCCAAAAAGTTCTGTCTAAAGTTTGTAAGACCCAAAGATTTTGTTCCGACTTTCAATGAGATTTTGGGAGTTGATTTAGACAAAAGATAATACGGAATCAAGTTTTGCTATCTGTCCTGATAGTGTTCTTTCTCCAGAATCCAGGAAATTCTTGCCATTTGGACAGTAACGGTTGGTGATGTATGCATCTGCTGGAGACATTTTACAGGGAACTGTCAACAGATGAACAAGTTATTTGTTGGCTAGGAACCTCACAAAATCATACTTCAAAGAAAATTTCACATGAAAAAAAAGTATCCCTGAAGACAGTTACCAAAGGCATGCAGGGATAGATGGACTGGGAGGTGATTTGAAAAGTAGAAACTTGGTCAGTTCTAGGAAAGCCATGACACAAAAAGAACTGAGATTTGCCTTTGTGTCCCCCAGAGCTGCTGTTTTACATCTTCATTCATTCTTGATAATCTAGAGAAACAACTGACTGAAGTGGACATGGATACCTAGTACGTCAGATACAGCCTTAGATACAATGAGGGACAGACTCTCGTACTCAAACAGCTTATTATGTAACTGGGTAAAAAAAACAAGACAGCCGGGCGTTGGTGGCACACGCCTTTAATCCCAACACTTGGGAGACAGAGGCAGGCAGATCTCTGTGAGTTTGAGGCCAGCCTGGTCTCCAGAGTGAGTGCCAGGATAGGTTCCAAAGCTAAACAGAGAAATCCTGTCTCAGAAAGAAAAAAAAAAAAAAAAAAAAAAAAAAAAAAAAAACAAAAAAAAAAAAAAAAAAAAAAAAAAAAAAAAAAACAAGACAGCAAGAAGAGAATGTGATTAAACATCATGTGGATTCTACAAAAATAAAGACAGTTACCTTTCAAAGTTGATGGAATTTAGAGGAGGTAAGTGTTTCCAGGAAGAGCTGTGAGAGTTAGGCACTTCATAGATCTCTGCTCAAACAGAAAAGAGAACTTACTTAGTGTCCAGTGGATAAAAGCAGGGCTAGCTAGCTTTGCATGTTCTACCTGAACTCCTCATGAACTCCAGCAGAACAGTAAGCTGTGCGTACAGTGGGGCGACACCTGGACAGTCACACTTGACACAACAAAGATAAAATGAAAAGTAGAGACATCAGCTACCAAACACCAAGTCCTAGTATAAAACTTAAAAAAAAAAAAAAAAAAAAAAAACCCTCAGGAAAATAAGCTCAGATCCCAGAGTTGCTGGAATTCTTGACATAAGTAAGTTCATATTTCAACACTAAGAATAAATGAAACTTTGAAGTAACAAAGTGTGGATTCTTCTCAGGGGGACAAAAAGGCAATAAAAAAAATAGCTGAGTGGACCCAGATCTTGGAGTTAGTAAAAAAAGGATTTTAAAAGGTCTCTCTCTCTCTCTCTCTCTCTCTCTATCTTCTCTCTCTCTCTCTCACACACACACACACACACACACACACACTAAAATAAGGTATTGAAAATGTGATGATGACAGTGACTTTGTCAATATTTAGGTGACATATACAGGAGACAGGAGACATCTCCACAGTGTCATCTTCAGCAGCCTGAGCAGACTCCTAGACTTTTAGGGACCTTAACTAAAGCTAAAGTGGCAGTCATGGCTTCACTGCAGAAAATAATTTCAAAACTGGACAGTTTATGAAACAGAGTTGCTAGATAAGTATAGGTTTCTCAACCAAGGATGAGCATGAACTCGCTGTGAAGTTCTAGCTCTTTGTTTTTGTATATGTGTTCGAGTGTTTACAGAAGTCACTTGTATAATGTTGGTAGGGACTGAAGTTGCTATCTTTAAAGGATTGGGAAGAAACTTGAATGAGTTTCCAGAGTTAAGGAATGTCTGTCAGGATTACTATTGATAAGGTAAAACCCTCACACACAGAGATAAGGGAGGCAAGATGTCTTCACTGTAAAGTCAAGAATTTTGTGTGAGATTCTCAAGAGATAACTGAGGAAGAATGAAACCTTACCCAATACCATATACATTCAGGCCCTAAACCTGGTTCATTGTTACTTTAATATATAATATCTATATATGACAGGACTGTAATTTCAGCAGCCTTCACAGCAAATGTTATTCATTGTGCTGAGACTTTCGCTTTTGATTGGCCCAAGCTTTAATCAGACTCCAGGATGAAGGACTCGTTCCCTTCCCATGTCCCCACAATTTCCCTGCCTTTTCATGCTGCCTCAGCTTGATAAATAGGGAATCTCAATACAGAAGTACAATGCATACAAAAGACACATGGTGCTTATTGTACTATAAAATGGCTCAACTGTGCTGAGAGGCAATCTTGCAGTTCTCAGAAAGTGGAACATGGGAGTTATCACCTAATAATTCCACGCCTACACATACACTCAAGAGAGAAATACTAGTCCATATAAAAACTTGCATGAAAATATTCTTAGAACATCAATTGTAATATCTAGAATAAAATAGCAATGATCCAGATGTTCATTAACAGATGGATGGATGAAGAATACACAGTGTGTTCTTATAATATCATTCAATAATAAAGAAACAAAGTATTTGAAACACACATAGATGAACCTTGGACATGTGAAAGAAGTTGCTCACAATATTATAATATTTGATTCTGCTTACATATTAAGAACACACAAAGCTAATGACAAAGCAAGTGGCCATAGGATCGTTGGGATAGGGAAGGGTCTTAGGGAGTGATAATAGAATTTCTCTATTGCCAATGAAAATGACATAAATGACATAAATTGGCGGTTGTGATGGTTGAGAAGCTATGAAATTACTAAAAGAAATACTGAATTGCATGCTTTAAAGAGTGAAATATTTGGTGTATGATTTCTGTCAATGCATTTCTTTCTTTAAAAAAGTCTCAAATGGCAATTCTGGTATTGTCAGTAGAGTAACAAATACAAGCTTGACTGGTCTATACCCACATAGAAAAGACTCATAAGATGTCAAACACACTATTACATAGAGAAAAATAAAAATATTTACAATGCAGGAATAAGTTGATTCTATGCTTAGAGAAAAATGTGTGGCTTTAATGACTTAGAAATATTCAAACATCTTCTGCCCCCTGAATTTAGAAGAAACTAGAAATATCAGACCAAAGCTAAGTAGAAAATAGCAAATAATAATAACCAAAGTGAAAGTCCATGAAAAAGCACCTATATGAAAAACAGAGAAAATAGGTTAAAAATTGTTATTTGATCAACTGATCAAATTTTAGTTACTCTCATAAGAAAAAAAAAAAGAAAAAGGAAGAAAGAAAAGAAACTAATTGCCTGAGCCAGGAATGAATGAGGAAGCAACAGCAGAACCCCCAGACTGAAGAATAAGATGGGAATATTACAACTCCCTTCATGCCAACACACATGAAATCATGCCAATGCCAACACACAGTTGGCATTACCTCACTTGCTGCCTTTGGATTTCTATTTTAATTCCTAAATGAAACACGAATTATAGCTTTAGTCATCATGAGATTATAATTTGAAGAATATAAAATGGCTTTTTAATTAAAAAATGATTTCTGCTCACAGACTCTCTGTCTCTGGGACTCCATGTGATCTGAGACTAAAGTCTAAGGCATCACAGTCATTTAAAAGAAATGGACCACAGGCTGGAAGCATCCACAGTCAATGGCCTGCTTACCTGTCATGCGAAGTGCCCTGAATTCAATACAGGTGGAGGTATGGAATACCCTCCTTGACAAATTCACAGAAGGCAATGAAGTTACTGAGGAAGATAGGAGGATGAGGAGTGGGGTTCCAAAACTTTTAAAAGAAGACTGAAAAACTAGCATCTAAAAGAACCTGTTGGCAAAGAAGAAGGTTGGAAACTCCCAGTTCAAAACCCACTAGAACTGGCTGGAGCCATTGGCGCAGGTACAGAGACATTCCAAGTGTCTAAAGGTGACCTATGACTAATAATAGTAAAAATTTACCTCCTTGGGTGGAGATTTAATATGCTTTGAGACAATTAATGATTGAAATATAAATTCATGTAAAATTATATGTATCATGAAAAGAATGCATGGAAAAGCCCATGCTATGCAAATGAGCCCAAAGTCTGTAGGCATAAAAGCTCCCATGGTTTTTATAGCACATCCCTTTAAGATTCTAGACATTTTCCCCTGGTCTACCCTGCTTCCTCTATTGAAAGTTTATTCTTTCTTAATAAATGCTCTTACTTTTCTTGCTGCTACCTAAGTGTCTCTCATTCCTTGTTTCAAGACACAAGAACCTGAAACCCCACCAGAGGTGCCCAGCAAACCCTGATAGAACTGCCTCACACATGAGTGTCCACACTCCCCAGGAGGGAGTCTTACAGACAAATGAGTATTCCTCTGAAGCTCTCTCTAAACCTGGTTAGAAGACCTCAGTGCCCAAAGGAAACACAAAGAAAACCAGATAATCTACAGATTTTCAAAGTTAAAAGTCTAAACAATGATTTCCAAAACTAGTGTGGACCAATCAAAAATGTCAACAACAAACAGACTCAAGGGCATTTGTAAGTTTTTAAAACATTTAAATGTCTAATTTTCTCATAAAGTTAGGTAAATACCTTCATTTACTATTATTTCATGGGTAAACATTTTAAGAGAACCTTCACAATAATCATAATTGGAATGAACTTGACATTAGGGAAATTTTATGTATTTTTTAATTTTAAATATATCATAGACCAGCAATAATTCCTTCACAGATCAAGAGTTTACCAAAAAAAATCTAGAAAAAGTGTGTGTGTGTGTGTGTGTGTGTGTGTGTGTGTGTGTGTGTGGAGAGAGAGAGATAGCACAGCTGTTAAGAGCATTTGCTGCTCTTGTAGAGGACCAGGGTTCAGTTCCCAGCACTAATATGGTATCTCACAACTTCTATAACTTCAGTCATAGGAGATCCCATGATCTCATAGATAACTCCCATTCTAAGGGACTTTACACCCTCTTCTGACCTTCAGACACTGCATATATATGGTATACAGACACACATGAAACCAAGTCACCCATACACATCACATAAAACAGTGACTTAAAAAATATAGAAATCATGGTCCCAGGTTTTGTTATAGAGTAGCATCTCTCAGAATGTGATATATAAGACAATTTTTGTGAGGAACATGAGATGATCTTGAGTGCAATATGAGAAATTTTCATACTTTGTCTAAACCAGAGAGTAGATAACATTAAATAGTAACAAGATGTTATCTTTCCTTTTCCATTTTCTTCTGATTAAAGAGATAGAGTCTACTTGTTATTAGTGTTTATCACTAGTGATCCAAAACCAAGATCATCTAATATTTAATAAATGGGTGGTGGATACCAATACCAGAGTCTCCCAAAAGCACAAGCTTTGATAGACAACTTAATAACATTGCTTTGTCTTTATCTAAGTTATGTCATAGGATGGTTATATGGTGGATAACTGTAACTGCAGCATTCAGGAATCCAAGAGGAAAGAGGTCGGTGAATCAGAAGCCAAATTGGTCTACATGGTGTGACTTAGCTTTCATCCCCTAAAAATGGTTATAATCTTTTATAGTGAAATGTTATTCACTTAAAATGGTGATATAAAAAACTTAAATACATTTAAGTTTTTTAAAAGTCTATGTAATAAGCTCTATTAACTAGATTCATATTGATACAAAAAATAACTCTCACTTCAAAAGAAATGGAGTTCATTCTAGAGCCACATATAAGTGACCATAGCCTAGGGCTGAGACTCAAGTTACCTTCATATTATATTCCAATGTGGTAACAGTTTTGTGATATTTTTATAGAAACAGAATAAAGGTTGTAAATCAAAGCATTTTTCAAAAACCTTGGTAGAAACATCAACTGGCAGGTTAAAGCAAAGCATAGAAATCTGTCACAGGCCTCAGACACTATCTGAATATATTCTTAGCTTGAGGGCTGGTAGAAACTGGACTGCTGTTTGTTCATTCCAGAAGGATTAACCTAACAGTCACAAGGATTCTAGGACACAGAGATAGACAATAAATGTCTATTTAGAGGGCCAAGTTTAGCCCAAGACATTTTTGGCTTCAAACTTGTAACATTCTAGATCTCCGAAGTCAATTAATCAAACTTATAGAATTTTTCCCCCAAGTGTACCTTTTTCTGGCAATTGCAGTTCACAATATGAGGGAAAGACTGTGAAGCATTAACTGAACAAGGGTTCTACCATGTAAATCTAGGTCATCAGTGAAAATTAAACCTGATGCAACCAGAGCATCTTACCTTGCCTTTGATATCACATTGCACTTGATTTTTCTGACTTCCTTTGCCTTCGATATGGATGACTTTTCCCTAAATACCACCTAATTTTCAGTCTGAAATCTCTATGGCCATGGCCCCTGTGCCCACTCTATCCTTCTTTGTTCTGTTTGAATCTCCCCAGTCTCGCTGCTACTGAGCCTATGTTGACTTAAAGTATTCCATAATGGGATAGTTGGATACTATCCCATTATGAGCTCTTAATGCCACTTTTGCTAACATGTTCACTCTTAGTTCATAATACTCCCTGCCAGGATTTATTGTCAAATTTAGACCTCGCTATCACCATCAGGCACCAACTTTGTGACTTCCCTTTTTCATTTGTGCCCTTTCTATTTTTTTTTTTTTTTACAGGACTCTGTGTAACGGTCCTGGCTGGCCTGGAACTCACTTTCTAGACCAGGCTGGACTCAAACTCATTGAGATTCTACTGCCTCTGCCTCCCAAGTGCTGGGATTAAAGGCATGCCACAACCACCCAGATGCATTTCTATATTCTTAATGAGTAGAACCAACCCAGCTAAATCCAGCCTAGTCATTATTTACATCATTCTACAAACTATAATTCCTCAAAATAATATTTCTTATTATAACACTTTTGTTGTTGTTGTTGTTGTTGTGGTGGTGGTGGTGGTGGTGGTGGTGGTGGTAGTGGCATCTTGAATGAAGATGTCCCCCATAGACTCAGATATTTGAGTTCTTGGCCCATAGTTGGTGGAACTGTTTGAGGATGTAGCACTGATTTAATGGAGTGTTGTTTTTCGCTAAATTCAGTAGCTTCCCATTAAGCAACTGCTGACCTAATGGGTAATTGCAACTCTGCAATGGCCAGTAGCATCCAGGTGGGAATTCTATTCCCTCAGGCAATAGCTCAATCACAAACCCCTAAAGGGAACTTTATTTAGATCTCTACCCCATTATAGAACTCAGGATTCAAAGGTTGAGGTGAAATTCTGCTAACTCAGAGAGGCTGAAGAGCAAGTAGCTCACCTTCTCTCCAAGCTCCTGTCTCCCTAACTACTCAGCTCCTAATTTGCTCAGCTCATCCCCCACGTAAGAACCCTAGCAACACATGGTTCCATGGTTCCTCTCTACTACTTCCTGTCAGCTAGTTGCTGACTCATCCACCTGACCCCAGGTTAATTTTATTTAATCAAACAAATGTAACATGTCTTTGCATGATTAAACAAATATTCTACAGCATAAATAAATGTAACACATCTTAAATTAATTCCACCACAGTGGAGGAAGTTCCATCACTGAGAATGGGTTTTAAGTGTTCATAGCTTGCTATTTCCAGTTCCCTCTCTACTTCATGTTTGTGGTTGAGAATGTGATTCTCAGCTTCCTACTCCTGCCACCATGTACCCCACTCCCTCTGAAACTGTAAGTCCAATAAATTCTTTCTTCCTTAAATTGCATTGATCAGGATATTATACCAAAGCAATAGAAAAGTAACTACTACTATTGTTTAATTTGTTTTTCCCATCTATCTGTCTGTTTATCTAGCTAACTAGCTGTGTTTTATTTATTTGAGTCAGGGTTTGACTTAAATGGATTAGACTAGTCTGCAACTTCTTGTAATCCTCCCACCTCTACATCAGAATGCTCAAATTTCAGTTGCTGTAGTATGACTTTTTCTTTGGGCACAACTTAAACATCTATTATCAGAGCAGAGATAACCTTGACTCTGCAGCCACAGCCATAAATAAGCAGAATGATACAGAGCTAGCAAGGTCAATAGTAACTGTAATAGAACTGTTGACATGCCATAGTAAAGGGATGACAGGGGTTAACAGGACTTTAACCTAGGATTCGAGCCTTTACTCCTTTCTATACCCCAACAACTGCACATAATCTTCTAAGATATTAGAGTATATGAGCAAGCAGAGGGTAACTGAAACTGGACTACTGATGCAGCTTCCATGAGGTTGTCATCCATGATGGATGGGGACATTGTGGTGATGCTGATGAGAATAGAATAATTGGTCAGGCAAAATGAGGGAGAGGAACCTTGAAAGCAAGATGTTCTGGTTCTTATCCTTGACCAGAATCTGTCAATGACCTTAGTTCTGTCCTGGTTAGAGGTCAAAAATGGCAGAAGGGTGCTCTGCTGCATAATGTGGCTTCACTAGAGCCCATTCCCCATGGAGGGATACTCTCTCTCTCTCTCTCTCTCTCTCTCTCTCTCTCTCTCTCTGCCTAGATACACAGGTTAGGGCCTAGGGCCTTCTCTAAATGATGAATGTGTCAAACTTTGATGATCCCCCATGGGAGGCCTCACCCTCCCTGGGGAGTGGACAGGGGTGGGAAGGGGGGTTGGGAGGGCATGGGAGGGAGGGAGTGGGAACTGGGATTGGTATACAAAATAAAATTGTTTTTAATTTAAATAAAAGTTTATTTTTAAAAATTTCCAAAAAACAAACAAACAAAAGACACTGGAGGCACCTAGACACCTTATAGGTGGACCAATGACCTGAGAGGTCTATGGTCTGATGTGCTCCCCATCCATCAACAAAAAAAAACATCTTATTAACCCCCAGATAGGGATCCTTGGCAATAGCCCGTACCTGGACTCTCTCCTGCTGTACAAGAGCTCTGCTCACTCTTCGTTTCCCACCTATGAATCATAAGCTCCTACTGCTGAATTACTCACTCACAAATTATTTTCTAAAAATTAACTTTCCCTTTTGGCCATGATATTTACTTTTCAAAAACCTACAATGGAATCTCGAAATTCACAGGCAAATGGATGGAACTAGAAGAAACCATCCTGAGTGAGGTGACCCAGTCACAAAAAGACAAAAATGGTATGTACTCACTCATATATGGATTTTAGACATAGAGCGAAGGAGTACCAGCCTACAATCCACACCACCAGAGAAGCTAGAAAACAAGGAGGACCCTAAGAGAGACATACATGTTCCCCCGAAAAAGGGGACAGGGACAAGATCTCCCGAGCTAATAAGAAGCATGGGGGAGGGGAGAGGGAACTAGAAGAAAGAGAGGGGGAGGAAGAGAAAAGGAGAGGAGGGTGTGAGGGAGCAGGAAGATTTAGTCAGGGGAAGAATTGAGGAGAGCAAGAAAAGAGATACCACAATAGAGGGAGCCATTACAGGTTTAAAGATAATTTTGGCACTAAGGAAATGTCCAGAGGTCTACAAGGTTGACCCCAACTAACAGTCTAAGCAGTGGTTGAGAGGCTACCTTAAATGCCCTTCTTCGATGAGATTGATGACTACCTTATATGCCATCCTAGAGCCTTCATCCAGTAGCTGATGGAAGCAGAGGCAGACACTCACAACTAAACACTGAGCTGAACTCTGGAATCCAGTTGCAGAGGGGCAAGAGTGATGAGCAAAGGGGTCGGGACCAGACTGGAGAAACTCACAGGGACAGCTGTCCTGAACAAGAGGTTGCTCATGGACCCCAGACTGATAGCTGGGAAACCAGCATAGGACTGTTCCAGATCCCCTGAAGGAGGAAGTCAGTTTGGAGGTATGGACAATCTATGGGGCCACTGGTAGTGGATCACTATTTATCCCTAGTACACAAATAGACTTTGGGAGCCCATTCCACATAGAGGGATACTCTCTCAGCCTAGACACACGGGGGAGGGTCTAGGCCCTGCTCCAAATGGTATGACAGACTTTGAAGATCTCCCATGGAAGGCCTCCTCCTCCCTGGGGAGCAGAAAAGAGTCGGGATGGGGGACCAGGGGAGAAGGGGTAGGAGAGGGAACTGGGGTTGACATGTAAAAGAAGCTTTTTTCTAATAAAAAACAACAAAACAGAACATCAACAACAAAAAACACTAGAGCCAATGGCTCAGTGGAAGTTTTGTGTGATCCTGAGTTTCTGCACCCTAATTCCTGAGTTAAATGCACTGGAAGCAAGAGAGCATCTGCTATTTTCTGAATTCCTGCTTTTCTCCTATTTCAATGCTGCCTGGGTAACATGTTGCTGTGAACAAGCCCTAACCCATGCTGCTGTGCCAGTGCAAGCCCAATAACTCATTGCTTCACCAAACTGGACTTTGGATACTTTTTGGTCTGTCAAAGGGCATGAGCCACCATGCCTCTATTAGCAGGTGTTGAATCTGTGAAATAAACGATTGCTACAAGCACTAGAACCAACCAAACAAACCACAAGCTTCTTTTTAGGCGAGGCATCAAGAGTTACCTTTCTTCTGCTCCATCACGTCAATCAAAGCGCCAAGCTTTCAAATATATTGACTTTAAACATGTCCATTTTTTCCTCCCTTAACAATGCAGTTCTTTGGCCAGAATACCAAGTTTTAAATAAATTTTGTACAGGCACCAAGTTGAAAGGATCTTTAACATTATCTAGTTCACTGCTCATGAAATCTTAAACTCCTTCTTTTAAAAACTACATGGAGATGATTTCTAGTTAAGAACATTCTGAACGGGTCTGAGACCTGTTTAGTATGAGAGATGAATGGCCAGGATGGCTAAGAAGTTTTATCTGTGACAATGTCGAAATTTCTGTTTTGTTTTAGTAGAACCAAGTGAGGCACACAGAGAACAATTAATGATTTGGCATTTTTGTCAACCTCAGCCAAGAGAGCCTTCTGGACCTAATATTAACAGTTATGGCAGTAAAAAGGCACATATCTTGATTTTTTTTAAGTATATTAGCCAAGAAACGTTTAAGTCATCAAAATTTTCAATGTATTTATCTATATCTCATGGCTTTGATTCAAGAGAAAATGGTGGGGAAATTAACATTTAATACTTGCCAGTATTTATCCCAGGATTTTCATCTATGTTATCTGATTTAACCATAACAATTTAGAAACTCATCCTATATTATTTTCTCAAGGTTAAATAGTTATTGAGCATGATTTATGATTCTAAAATTTAACTGTAAAAATGGATGCATGACATAGATTTGTCAAACCCCATAGAAGTGTACAACTTGATGAGTAAACCCTAATGTTTAGTTAATAACAATGTATCAATATTCACTCACCAATTGTAATAAATAAGCTACTCTAATTCAAGAAGTTAATAGGAGGGGAAAACTGTGGGAAGTGAGAGGTGCATGGAAATTTAATCGTTCAATCTTGTGTAGACCTAAAAGAACTATAAGATGACCTACTTTTAACAATTAAGATTCACTTACAAACACATTTAACTAATTATTTGCTTCACATTCTCCCCTAATTCATTCTAGTCAGGTTTTCAAACCCTATCTCTATGGTCATTATGCTTGTCTGAGAGCACTGCCATGTTGGATCAACTCTCCACTTTGGTCTTCTCTGAAGTACCAACAGCAGTAGATATATTTATTATAATTTCTTTGTGGCAGCACTTTTCCTAGTTTCTAGCCTATCTCAGTTACCATGTTAAAATATATATATATATTTCTTGTATGGTCCTTCCTATATGCCTTTGCTCCTTTTAACTTCCCCCACTCAGAACTCTTACTATAGAAGGACCCCAGAGCCTACATCTTTTTTTAAAATCATTTTTTATTTGAATTAGAAACAAGATTGTTTTACATGTCAATCCCAGTTCCCTTCTCCCTCCTGTCCTCCCCTACCACCCCCCCAACTAAAACCCTACCTATCACATACCCTTTCTTCTATTCTTCCCCTGACCCAACCTTTCTGCTCACTCATGACCTCTGCATCCTTCCATTTCTTCCCTTCTCATTCTTGTAGCTCCCTACCCTCTCTTCCCCTGCTCTCAATTTGCTCAGGGGATCTTGACCCTTTCCCCTTCTCCAGGGGACCATGTATGTCTCTCTTAGGGTCCTCCTTGTTTACTAGTTTCTCTGGCATTGTGGATTGTAGGATGGTAATCCTTTACTGTATATCTAAAATCCAGATATAAATGAGTTCATATCATGTTTGTCTTTTTGTGACTGGGTTACCTTGCTCAGAATGGTTTCTTCTAGTTCCATCCATTTTCCTGAAAATTTCAAGATTCCATTGTTTTTTTTTTTTCTGCTGAGTAGTACTCCATTGTATAAATGTACCACATTGTCTCTATCCATTCATGGGTTGAGGGACATCTAGGATGCTTCCAGGTTCTGGCTATTACAAATAGTGCTGCTATGAACATCATTGAACAGATGTCCTTGTTGTATGAATGTGCAGAACCTACATCTTTGAGCTTCCTCTCTTCATTTACTTCACATTCTTAGTGATTTTACGTAATCTGATGACTTTGAGTTTCAGTAATATGCTGGTATTTCTCAATTTTGTGTTTCATACAAGATCTGTTCCAAAACTCTAGACTTAAATATTGATTTAACATCGTATATTAGCCAAGTTTTACAAAATGGCAGAACCAATAGGAATAAAGAGTTGCTCACACATTTTGGAGGCCAACAAATTCAAATCTATAGTGTGGGCCAGGAGGCTTAAGCAAGAAATCCAACACAGTGTGATTCTTGTCCGATAACTGACAACTCAGAGACCCAGGAGAGCAAAGGGAGCAACACCAGTCACAAGGATAATGCTACAGAATTTCATCTTTTCCAGAAAGTGTTTTTTTGTTTTTGTTCTATTTTTAAGACAGGGTCTCTCTACATAGCCCTAGATGCCCTGGAACTCATTACAGAGAACAGGCTGGCCTGAGATTCATAGCGATCCACCTGACTCTACCTCACAAGTGCCAGGATTAAAGGTGTGTGCCTCCATGGCCAGGGCATAAAGTCTTTTTAGTTGGGCTATCAATTGATTGGATGAACTATTATGAAGTACACTATAATTTATCCCAAAGTCACCACCTTCCAGGTTAACATGCCTTAACCATAATGAATCTAAATCATCATTTAACCATTTAAACCTATGATGGCAGTATTAGTTACTTTTACATTGCTGTGATAAAATATCAAAGGAAACTTTAGGAAGAAAGGATTTCTTTTAGCTTGGGGTTGCAAAGGATAGAGTCCATCACAGTGAGGAAGGGATGGCAACAGTCAAAAAGTATGACACTAGGAACAGAAAGACTGCTGATTATATTTTTGAATATGCAAAGGAAACACAGGGTAATAGCAGAGGTTAAGGAGAGACTATAAACCCTCCAAGTCTATCCTGAGTGAAATGCTTCTACCAGCAAGGCTCCCCTAAGGCTCCAGAGTTTTCCCAGACAGCACCACCAGCTTGGGATTCAAGTGTTCAAACACATGAGCTTATGAAGCACATTTCCCATCCAAATCACCACAACCATCCATGCTGGTGGTAAACTTGACTGGACTGAAAAGTGCTTAGAGGAGTAGTCTAGCACTGGTCTGGGTATGACTGTGGAGGTGCTCACAGAGACAATTCACAGTGAGACCTTCACTGAATGTGAGCAGTATCATCTGATAGCTCAAGGATCCAAGTAGAAGAAAAGGAGAAAAAAGCCTATCAATACATATTCTCCCTTCGTGACTACAGTGATGGGAACTTTTTCACCTTAGCCACCCAACTAAAACATCTGAAACAGCGAACTAAAGCAAATCTCTCCTCCCAAAGTTGTATCTGAAGATTTGAAAACCTAATACAATGTTCCATCTCTTTTCTTCCCTAATTTAGTTAATGAAAATTCCATCTTCCCACCTTGACCAAAACTCATGAAGGCATTCTTGGGTTGTCCTTTATCTTATAACCCATATCCTCTTTTGCTTCTCACCACATCCATTAGTATTTCTGCAGCGCAGGCAGCATTAAGCACAGGAGTATGCCAAAAGCCTCTTAGCTGTTTCCAACTTCTCTTTTTATTTGCCTCCTTTCAGAGGATTTCTGTCTCTTAAACTATGTAATAAATACCAGACATGTTGGGATCTTGTCAAAAGTAGATTAGGATTTCATAG